TATCAAGAGGTCAGATGACTGCCACTGAATACTGTTGAATATCATAACCATTTAAAATTACTAAATTGCTCATGTGATGCACAGTGTGTGACCACTATCAATTGAATTCATAATGCATTTTTTATCTCATATGATATCACAAACACAGTTAATGGCTTTAAAACACTGGATGCCACTGCAATTTTTTTCATACAAAAGAGTACTTGCCGGCACTTAATGTGTTAAGCTAAAATGAGTATTTCTTTATTTTTATTAAACATTATTTGTGCTTGATAAACAAATGTTTCATGAAAATATAAAAAGGAAATAGAATCCATATCCTTAAATAATATTTTAATCACTTACATTTTCAAAATACTAATTTAATATCCCCACGCTAATAAAGGTAAGTAAAGAGTTACCAATGAAAATTCTTTGTTTCATTTGATAGTGATCGAGCATGGTAAACGAACCAAACAAGCACTCTGCTGTAGCAGGCAATGTATAGCAACGGTCAATGGTCATTCCCCAAGAATCTTCATTACTTTTATGTAGATTTTTTTTAATGTAATTTATAACTTATGTAATCCCAGATTGTACGGAGAGGTAAAATAGTTTGAGTTTTAATTATTTTTTAAATTAATAACCATTACATGTGATACCATTACAACCTTTATGAAGAGAGGTCAAAGAAGAAATGATAGGGTCTACTATTTATCGGGTGAAAACTACGGTGTAGGGACAAAACACCTTATAATTAAACTCTTAGGGAAAGTCAAATATAGGTTTAAAGTTCACGTATTAGAATTTGCGTAATTGGAAATTGGCTTATACATGTTTGGAAAAACTGTATTCGTACAACGCCAAAGACAGATGGGATTATATTTTAATACACGAAACAACACCTAAAAATGATTGACTTGCCATAAACCAAGGATGAATACTAGAACGCAACTCAGTACTTACCTTTTGCCCAATACTGCTTAATATAGTATGCTTTTCTATTGACTGGATCAGTTCTTATTTAATTCACAGCAACTACTAATTTTATTTAAAAGTAATAACCATATGTTACAATTTCATACAAATGTGTATTTTATACAAATAAAGACGTCAACTGAACACTCATTGAAAAACACAAAATTTATATTAAGTGACTATTTTTATCACAGTGAATTACAATTATAAGAAATTTGGCGAAAATTAATTACGTATTTAAGGTTTTTTAGTGCAATATTAATGAACAATAAGATACAAAAAACAATAATATTAAAGAGCACGACCAATTAAATTTTTGTATCTGACAAGCTGACAAGTAATCTGATTGATCCTAGACAGAGTATAAAAAATTAGTACTTTTCGATTTTTAAAAATCACAGACTAGATATCAGTCACTTAATCCTTAATTTATTATTTTTAATTCCTTGTTACAGTGCATAAATTGCTTTAGGTGCACATTGAAGTAAAATATCTTAATCTCAAAAATACATAGCTGGCTGCTTTAAACTTGAAGATAAACCATTTAAATGTCATTTGATTAAAAATTAAGACAACTAGGTAATTGACATAAACATCGAAAACACTGAAAACACATACGATAATGTTCATGAAATGATTTTACACTCTTAGAATGCACGAAGAAGACCTTCGTTGTTGCTGTTCGCCAAGTGATTGTCAAGTAACAGTTTCCACTTATTAATAGAAAATGCATTTTGACATTCATATTTAGTGAGGGTAACTGAAAAAAATCACATAATATGTAAAATAAGCATGATGATAAGTAGCTGTACTACGAACAGCAAGGACAACTAAAAGTGTGCCTTAAAAAAGTTCTCTGTAGTTAGTCTAAAACAGGCTCCGAGCTCATCAGTGGGGATCTATAGTGAGCTAAGGGATATGTTGATAATCAAACTTTAACATTTTACTCCAAAATCATATATAAACAAGCTTATCAAACCATTATACTTGTATTTGGTATTTATTATTTGATTGAAGCTTGTATGATAAAAAAAAATATAAATAGGTGCCTATAAAAAACATTGAGAAATGAAAGTTGCACTAAAATTACAAAAAAGACCAAACATTTGATTTAAAAGGTTTGAAAAAAAGAATCAAATGTATACCACAGATTATTTTGCCTTACTGCTCAGTTTTTTTTCCTAATTATGCTGTTATTTGAACTTATTTTATCTGTGACCTAATCCAAGCTGAATTTGACGTTTTAGTGAAATAAAGTCCTAACTTTTCCTTACGTTTTTTGACTAACTTAGCACGACGTATCTTTCTTAAATTAGTGTTAAAGATTAGACTAAATCGTATCTAAACGTAATCCATAACATGTACATGGATTTAACGTATGACCCGGAACAAAACGATAGTGGTATGGAATCATTAACAGCTAGTAAAGATGATACTCCAGAACGTAGACCCGAAGATTCATTTATTACTCCTGTGGTATGAAATAAGTGATAATTTTAAATGCAGCTAGTGACATTAGCGATGTTTATCTTAGCGATTTGTATTTCTTTCAGCTCGGAACATCACCATCTGCATTGACTCCGGTGACGGGTGGACCTCTTAAGGAATACGATGATGTAAATATAACCTTTTTTTCTATGTAATAAATAAGGTATTTATCGTAATTAAATACACGCAGTCTAACTAAGATTGCTTAATAGCTTTTAAAATGTGTCTTTTATCGTGTTCCAGTTTATAGTAAACACATATTTGTGATTTTTTTGGTTTTCAATGTAGGATGTATTCATTTAGGTCCTAGTAAGGAGAGATAAACCGTTGGTTGATATATCGGGCCATAACAGAAGCAGAGAAATAGTTTACTTGTATTAAACTGATATTATTATCTTATTTATAGGAACCAGATGAAACTCTTTCTGAGAGGTTATGGGGATTAACAGAAATGTTTCCAGATCGCGTGCGAAGTGGCACATACACACTCACAACTAAAACTTGGTAAAAAAAAAGGTTTTAAAATTATCCTATAAGAAATTTTTAATTCAATGGATAGGACCAGGCATTTTGGCAATTAAAGTGCAAAGCCTATGAGTAGCAGTGGCCAAACTTGGGCTGATTGTGAACTTGTTAGTTGATGTATTATTATAATAGTATGTTAATTGTTTGTTAATAGGTCTGGAATGAAATCTTTATATGGATTGTCCCGCTCTGTGATGTGGATCTTGGCAAGTTCATCTGTGATTCTGTTCGCTCCAGTCATATTTGAAGTTGAAAGAGCACAAGTTGAGGAAATGCAAAAGTCACAACAGAAACAGGTGAGAAACACATAAAATTTAAAATATTCCAGCCGTACAATGGGTATTAATGACATAACAACATGAAACTGTCTAAAATCTCTTTTAAAATAGACCTATGCTTTGTAAAGAAAGTCTAAAACTTATTGTTTATGGGAGACTTATTAATTTTCCACCTCAGACTCATAAACAAGAAAAAACATAATAAATAATTTTATTTGTTTATAAAGTTTGTCTTACTAGTGTCAAAATTAAAAGTATTTAATTATTATTTATGTTATAGGTGTTGCTGGGAACTAACACTGCATTGTCAGGACCAATGCCGAACATGCCACCAATGCCACGATAAACCAAATCACAAGACTATTTTAGAATTCAAATAATAAATTTCCTATTATGACACAATACATATGGGAAGGAATTCTTTGCATGTCTATGCTTTAATATTAGTTTGTTAGTTAAATAAATAGGTAACAAAAATATATCCTGGAATATTATTATATTATCAATCAAATTAAAAGATTAATGCTTTTCTGATACAGATTGTATTTTGCTTCATCTTACTTTATTAATTTCACGAAATAAAGTTTAACAGAAAATATAATATTTATACCATCTCCAATTAATTTTCATAGTATGTATTTGTTATATTGTTTTATGTCAAAAAATATATTTCCCTCAAATCAAATGCATTTGCGTCTAGGGTTGATTTTTTTTAATGTAGATAATGTTTTATGACAAACTGTTTAAATAATAAAAGGTGTTGTAGTTAACTCTGGCCTAAAAATTAATTTTCCACTAAAAACCAAAGAAAAAAGATTAGTAAAAAATAATTATGGAAAAACTACAAGATTTACCCCTACCTACCCTTACATAGAGGTAATGCTTGGTTTGCATTATGCCAGGACAATAGCGCTGGCCTAGCATATACTGTTATGCCTCACTGGCGTCGGCTAGTGTTTCTATTATGCCAGTTATATGCCAACGCTGATTTAGAGCGCTACTGTCCGACTGTACCAGCGTAATGTTAACCAGGCATTATGTTTTCTTGTATAAACCAAACTAAACTTTAAGATGATGCACGATCCTTATCCATTTACCACCAAGCCTGAGTTTTCAAAAGTATTATTTTAATCAATTCTAGCTATGCCCTGCCTTTCCAGTACTGACTACTATGATACAGTAGCGACGTGAGGGCATAATATGTCGCACGTCTTATAGTGACTATCTTGCACCACATTTTTAATCTGGTATGTTTTTGTTCAACCTGTATTTCACGAATGTCAACCAATATTCCAAATAAGATATGACCTAAAGGTCTATGTTACCAGGTCATAAAATAAAAAAAAACAACCAATATCATTTGACATTTTATAATTGTGCTGCCAATGTTTTAGTGCTTTTTCTAAATTTGGGGACGAAAAATTTCACTAGTAACGTTTTTTAAGAATAGCCAAAAAACAAATATCTTTTCCAAGTTTGCATTTTGCTACTCATATTATACTACGTATAAATACGTCTGTTACGTATTTTTCAATGGATCGCTAGTAAAGTTTTGAACTTCGTGGATATGAGAATGTTAAGAAACAACTGTTATTTGGTTAATATTAATTAAAAATACGAAAAAAAAACTGTGTTTATCAATGCATGTATTAAGTCAAATTGCAACGGATTAAAGCCACAAAAATCTTAAAGGGCTCGTAGAAATATTATTTTTCTCAGATTATGGGTAAATTTTTGCGCGGTAATGGCAACATTGTTGTATTTGTCATGCATATTTTTGTAGTGAGATTGATATGGGACTTGTGAGTAAATGGTTTATAGTGAAAATTATTTAAAACATGGCTAATACAGGCTTGTTACCTTTTGTAAGAGGTGTAGATTTTACATGCAATGATTTCAGTGTACGTAAATAGAAATTTGATACTACTAAAATAAACGTTTAAATGACTGTAACCTTATAACTGTGCAAATGTCCTAAATGTTTCTTATTTTTTAGGGCGACAAATTTCCTGAAGCCATTCGTTATATGACCGGACTGCAATGGCTCAGACTTGATAAAACAAATCTAACGGATATTCCCGAAGAATTAGGAAAGCTTATGAAATTGGTAAACTTAAGTTTGGATTTTCCTTTGTTTTTAATTCATTTTAAGAAGATAATTAATCTTTATAGTTATATTAATTTGAAATTGTGATTTACGAACTAATCTGTTTTTATTGTGCAATGATAAAACAATGTAACAACTGAAAGTTATTGATATTTAAACTCTTCTTATTATTTGACATTGAATGTTGCAAATGAATTGTTGTTGTAGGTAGTACAAACATAATCAAAACATATAAACTTTCTCAGACTTACGTTTAAAATTTATAGTGTGTTAAGATTGGTCCTGTAAGATAAGGAAAGTCATTATACTCTTTGCTTATGACATCACATAAAACATGAAGGCAATATTAAAAAATATTAAAATACAATTTTTTTTTTTACAGGAAAACTTGTCCATAAAAAAGAATAATTTAGAGAAATTATTTGGTGAGCTTACTGAACTAAAATGTTTACGATCATTAAATGTGAGGCACAACAATGTGAAGACTTCAGGTATACCTGCAGAGTTGTTCAGACTTGAAGAGCTGACTACACTTGATTTGTCACACAATAGACTAAAGGAAGTTCCGGAAGGATTGGAGAAAGCCAAATCTCTCCTGGTTTTGAACCTCAGTCATAATAAGTAAGATAAAGTGTTATTTAGAGAACATTTAAATATTGCTTTTTGACTAGTTAAAGCAGTGTTTGATTTGACCTTCCAATAAGGGAATTCCCTTTGTAAACTTCAATCAACCAAAGCTGTGTACTTTGGTATTGTTGAATACCATATCAATATACATTGAAAAACAATATTCCGATACATTATTTTCTTATTATTTAAAGTACTCATTAACATATTAAATTGCCTGTTAAAGTACATATTAAAGTTTATTTGTACAGTGAGTTTTTAACTCGTATATTATTTGTTTCAGAATTGAAAGTATCCCACCGACTCTGTTTGTGCAATTAACAGATTTATTATTTCTTGATTTATCAAATAATTTACTGGAGACTCTGCCCCCTCAGACTAGAAGACTGGCGAACTTGCAGACTCTAATACTTAATGACAATCCATTAGGATTATTTCAGCTAAGGTATGTTATCACCCATCAAGATTAAAATAATTTGTTTTATTAACATTACATGATCACATGGCTCGAGGCCAAGCTCAGAGCCCAAAATAGAGCAACAGCCCAATTTAGACAAGTTCTACCCTAATACAGGGATTTACGATAATAAATAAATTTACATTATATGTCATAATAATTTTCAATTAAATTATTACAGACAGTTACCTTCACTGCAAAGTCTAGAAACATTGCATATGCGTAACACACAGCGCACTCTTGCCAATCTACCCACATCACTGGATACACTATGCAACCTGTCTGATGTGGATTTGTCAAAGAATGCATTGACCAAAGTACCTGATGCACTTTACTCGCTGCAAAGCCTAAAGAGATTGAATCTCAGTGACAATGAGATAACTGAAGTATCCTCAGGTAAGTGACAAGTAAAACTTTTTAATTAGCTATGTCGTTTAGGTCTAATCAAGTAATTGGAATAAGACCCTTTTACTGTTGGTAGCTTAATATGAAATTTTGTAACACTTTAGAGAAATAGGCTTTTGGATGATTTTACAATCACGTGAGTCGTCTCTCTTATGGCTATATTACAAATGTGAATATTTCAATGCATGAATGGACGGTTATTAGAGTACCTCCAGAACGGCTCCGTAGATGTTCCTTAAATTTGACATAGATATAGAACATATCATGGAATAGCACATAAGCTAATTAACTTTTCTTAATTTCGCGTGGACGGAGTCGCGGTCTGCAGCTAGTTAGTGTATAAAACAAGATTTCAATGTAAAGAATGTTTGCATATTTACATCAGTTATCGATAATCGACATCAGTTAGTTTTCACTTTGGAGAATGGTTTCACTTATGTTAATTATGCGTTGTAGCAAGTTATATCATTTCATAGCGTATTGTTGGTTGGTATGGTATTGTACTAAGGTACAGCCTATCCCAATAATCTAATATAAGCGAAAAAGGTAAGGGACATAACAAATAATCTAAATTTGCTCATTTTTACAATGCATTATTATTCAAGAATAATAGGTAACTTTTGTTCACAGCAATGGACATCTGGCAGAACTTGCAATGTCTCAATCTGTCACGGAACAAGCTTACAGCATTACCAGCATCATTGTGCAAGCTGCAGAACCTAAGACGTCTCCATGTTGATGATAACCAGCTGGACTTCGAAGGGATACCTTCGGGGATCGGCAAGCTGGGTAGCTTAGAAGTATTCTCAGCTGCTAATAATCTATTGGAGATGATACCTGAAGGATTGTGTCGGTGAGATTATCTTTTAGACAATTAATAATCAATCTATTTGCTTATCTAAGGTATTTTACAATGCTCGTCATCTTAACCATCGGTTTCGATTGCCAAAATAAATTGAAATTGCTTTAATTCTCTCAAAATATGAAACAACAGGTATTTTGGAAATGAGAACATGCTGTTATAATTTAAAAAAAAGTTAAAGTTTAATTTATGACATTCTTTAATTCAATCTGACCTTCAGTCGCACACTTAAACATCAAACTATCAATATTTTATGTGAACTTGTTTGTAAGTAGCCAGTTTGTGTTGTCTATTATCAAATCGTGCGTGACGAGTTTCATAAATCAATACACGCTTTGCTAGTCTTGCGTGAGAGTAATTGATACTATTTGATATTAGAATGGTTAGTGAATTGAGACAAACAAAACACTGGAGAAATACAAAAGTAACAGTATTCATAACATACTAACTAGAAATATTGTTGTCTCTTTTTCTTCAAAAAAGAATGATAAGGATGAATATGTTTTTGTGAAGTAAGTAAAATAAAAAGAAAACTGCAACCAATAAACTCTAAGTATTTACAAAATGAACCATCATACGGTGATGCAACCTGTACTTTTTAGCATAGAAAATTTAAATTGTGTTTGTAGTCATGAGTCTAGACTGAGCCGCTATGGTTAACTAAGGCCTAGTCCCACCTAATATACAGTAGGCACACCCTAGTTGGTATAAAAGCTGACGACTATTAATTTTCAGATGTGGTGCACTAAAGAAATTAAACTTAAGTTGCAACAAGCTTATAACTCTACCTGATGCGATACATCTCCTGAGCGACTTGGAAAGTCTCCAACTTCACGGCAATCCCGACCTGGTGATGCCACCGAAGCCTGTAGAGCAGCAGAGAGGTGCCGGCCTGCAGTACTACAACGTCGACTTTTCGCTACAAGCTCAGTTGCAGCTGGCAGGTGCCACCACTGCAGAACCCACTACACCCACCAGTGAGTAAAATATTCATTAGAAAGTAAAAAGTATTAATATATTTTTGTACTAGCTGTCGCTCGCGACTGTTCATGCTAATTAAAAAAAATAATTAGTGACCTATGTGAATTTCCAGACTATGTTCTACATGTCAAATTTAATTGAAATCAATTGAGCCATTCTAAGATACTATCTAACAAACATCCATCCATCCATCCATTTAAGCTTTCAAATGTTTAATATTATTAAGTTAAACAAGTTGGTACAATGTTTTGTGTTGCACGTAGATATTAAATATTGAATAGTTAAGCTTATTCACGTGTGAAAAGTTTCATGTACGGTTTAAAAGAAGTTAAATGATAAAACATGGAAGATTACTTCTATGAATCATAGGAATAAAAATGTCTTTCAATGTTATTGTAACAAACATAGAAGTCATCCGTATTTAGTTGATTCGTCTATGTGTATGTATATGGTATATACGTGTGAAGGCGTGAAGTCGGACCCGCTGGCGCGCAAGCTGCGGCTGCGGCGTCGCGCGGAGGCGGAGCAGCGCGGCTCTGCGCTCATACTGCGCGGCATGCGTGAGCAAGCCAGCGCACAGCTCGACGCTGCACCGGACCTACACTACAGCGAACTCAAGTAACATTGTCACACTATAAAACAATAATTGTCACCCGCGATTCTGCCTGCGCAAAATTAAAAAAAAAAACTTAATTAGTAGTCTATGTTTTCCTCCAGACTATGTTCTACATCTATACCAAATTTCATCAAGATCCATTTAATCGTTTTGTAGATACCTATTTTTAACATCCATTCATCCAAACATTCGCATTTATAATATTAGTAACATTATAAGTTATGTCGCTTGCATTTATTTTTACTACTACTGATGTTTTTACTGCTTTCAAATTATATTTCTTTTTCTCTATTATCGTTAGAGAATTTGTGTTATGTTATCTCACATCATTAGCATATTTGTATTGCCAACAGACCGAAACGTTGGGACGAGAGCTTAGAGAAGCCTCCCTTGGATTACTCAGAGTTCTTCGATGAGGAGACAGGACAGACGCCCGGCCTGCAGGTGTGGGAGATTGAGAACTTCATACCGGCGCCTGTTGACGAGGTAATAGAGATATTGTCTCAGAATTCTATTTTTTATTAGTATGCTATGTGTTGTTCCATACTGTGCTCTATATCTATTTATTTATATCGAAGACTTACATCTAGAAAGCAGCAATACATTGATGTTAAATATTATTAAGATTTTTAACAAACATACATCCATAAAAACATTCGCATTTATAATATTAGTAAGTTTAACCAACGCCATATGTCAAAAGAAGTCAACTCTTTTAGAATTAAAGTTATTGTATTTTACCAACAAAAAAAAACAAATAGTGATACATTTTTAAAATTAAAATTGTTCATAGGTGGCTCACGGCAAGTTCTTCGAGGGTGACTGCTACATTATACTGAAGACTTCAATACAGGAGCAAGGACAGTTGGCCTGGGACATACACTTCTGGATAGGATCCAAAGCAACGGTAAGTGTATTTTTTTATTTTTGAATAACTACTTAAAACTTTCCATTGAAAATGTCAAAATTCAAATGTTCGAACGATAACGGAGGCCTTCGCCATTGGCTGAGGAATTACCGTTACCATGGCAACCGACCATCTTTGCTGCTATTGGTTAGACATTTTTGTCCTTTTCTCGCATAAAAATTTATTCACCCTCTAAGCCCCTTAAAAGTATAGGGCCTTATATTAAAGAAAAGTTTATATATACTATGCTATGATTGTTAACATCCTACATAAAGTGTACGGTATATTATATTAGTAAAAATTCTCGATAGACAAGTTTGAATTGAAAGTATTATCTTTGTTTGTATTTAGTTGGATAAAGGCGCGTGTGCGGCAATGCACGCGGTGAATCTGCGCAACTTGTTAGGAGCGAAGCGCACACAGCGGCACGAGCAGGGAGACGAGACGCCGGACTTCCTCGCACTGTTCCCTACTCCTCCAGTCTACATCGCCGGCAGCCGCACACCTTCAGGATTCTTCACTGTCGATGATCCTGTAAGTTATAATTGCATGTCTTATCGTGAGAATCCTGCACATATATCTAGGCAAAGACAACTTTTCTCGTTCTGCCATTTTCCATACGGAGTGTCTTCACAGTATTACTTAATTTACTACCTAAGCATATGTCTCAAACGATTGTTAAATTGATGTATTCTCTAGCTTCTCCCCGTGAATCAGTCCGTACGAAATTAAAAAAAAAACTATAGATTAGACTATGTGTTCCTCCAGATATTGCTCTACATCTATACTAAATTTCATCAAGATCCATGCAGCCGTTTTAGAGATCCATTTATCCATCTCTACATCCAAACTTTTGCATTTATAACATTACTGAAATCTCACGTATTTTTGTAAATAAAAAACATCTCATTATCTTACTAATATTATAAATGTGACTGTTTGGATGGATGGATGATGCAAAAAGGCTCAATGGAAGAACACATAGGCTACTAATTAAGTTTTTTGTCTCGCGCGGACGAAGTCTCGGGTGATAGCTAGTATTTAATACAATTGTGATGATTTGATATGATTGTATTTTGCAGCACTACGTGACGCGCCTGTACCGCGTGCACGGCGCGGGCAGCACCATACACCTGGAGCCGGTGCCTGTCGCCGCGCGCTCACTCGACCCCAGATATGTGTTCGTGCTGGATACAGGACTTCTCATATATCTATGGTAATTGTATTGTACTGATTCCGTAATTTATGTAATGGCTATCTCTTTCAAAACTTTCTTTGGTCTTTAAACTTTTTAAATGTTTGTTTATATCGTAATTTTTATAGCAATAATTTCAGGATTTGTTCTATCCAAAATTGTTTAAACTTAAAGTTTTATTTAAAATTTCGGACTTAGAGGTCACTTATTATGAAGTAAAATTTTAAAAAAATCTAGTTATTTTATATATTCAAAAATCATAGGAACGGCAAGAAAGCGAAAAACACATTGAAATCAAAAGCTCGTCTTTTTGCTGAGAAGATCAACAAGGAAGAGCGTAAGAACAAAGCGGAACTGATCGCGGAACCTCCGGGTAAAGAGCCCCAGTCCTTCTGGAAGACATTGGGCTACGAGGACCCGGAACCTTATGTACCAGAGGTAAGTTTTATTTTGAAAATTTTATGCACGCATCCATACAATTAGTAAGCAATGCACCGACAAAAAAGTTTCTAATTAAAACAACATGCAATCTTACTTATATTATAATGCGCGAATGTTTAGATTGATGGATGGATGACTGGATGTTTGCATGAAGTTATCTCCAGAACGGCTGCATGGATTTCAATGAAATTTGACATAGATGTAGAACATAGTCTGGGAGAACCCATAAGCTTATTAAGTTTTTTTTTAATTCCGTTAATCCGGACGGAGTCGCGGGCGACTGCTAGTAATGTATAAATTATTAAATGCTGAAGAGCCTACAAAGTTTCTATAGTTGTAAATCAATCAACAATCCTTTTATCAATACGCAAGATTTATTATTAAAACAAATTAAAAGTCATTAAAAAAATGAACATCAAAAATAAAATAAATAAGCACATAAAGGTTATATGTGTGGTACAGGAGCACGTAGACCCGGAGTGGACATGGGCATCGCCGCGTCTGTACCGGGTGGAGCTGGGCATGGGGTACCTGGAGCTGCCGCAGCCGGAGCCCGCGCCGCTCGCCCGACATCACCTCGCCACGCGCAACGTCTACATACTGGACGCACACATCGATGTATTCGTATGGTAACTATTTTACCAATTTAATACAGCGCCATCTATCGGAATTGATTAGTGTCATCAACTGATTTTTCTTTATTTTAAAGAATATTAAAACTTTAGTGGTTCCCTTTCCTTTGTGTTCCTTTCTCTTTCCTACACAAAAGGAGACTTTGCTCTTCCTATTCTGTTATGAATTTACTACTGAATTATAAATGGTTTAAGAGGTCATTAAACAACTTTAAGTTTGTTAAGATTATTCGATTACATGAGACAGACCATATTTTTTTAAATTGATATCTACATGGATATAAATGTTTATATTAATATAAATAACCTAACGTAGGTTTGGCAAGAAGTCATCTCGTCTGGTGCGTGCGGCGGCAGTGAAGTTGGCGCAAGAGTTGTTCAACATGGTGTCGCGACCTGCGCACGCGCTTGTCACGCGTCTACAAGAGGGCACTGAGACGCAGGTCATACACATTTATACATCAAGCAAACATTCAAAAAATATTTGAAACTATCTCCAACAATACATTTTAAGCCGTTATGACATTACTGCGAAGTCACAAACATTCAGACAAACAAAAAAAAATACCTTTCCTAGTTATGTTATTTCTACAACTGTAAATGATTTTATTAAATTTAATCTTTAAGTATATTAGACTAGGAATCATTTTCTAACGACAATAATGTGTTACAGGTGTTCAAGACGTACTTCTTAGGATGGGAGGAGGTGATAGCGGTGGACTTCACGCGTACCGCGGAGTCTGTGGCAAGAACTGGTGCGGATCTCGCCAGTTGGGCCAAGCAGCAGGAGACCAAGTCAGTATACACACCCTATTGTTTGTATTCAAAATATCTGGTCTTCTTAGTAACTAGCGGTCGCCCGCAACTTTGTGCAGAATTTAAAAAAGTAGCCTTTGAAAGTAGCGTAGATTAACTGGAACAAATGTTCCCTTGAATAACATACAAGACACAGACAAAAATTTAAAAAATGGGTATCAGAGATGAGGAGATGTCAGGAACAATTATTACGGCAGTTCTTACTTAGTTTTCTTTTAGAGTGAGAGATATGTTTATATTATTTGTATAACGAACGAAAAAGAAGAATATACTTCTTTATGTTTAATAAGTAATTAATTTTTGTAAGGTTAAATGTAAATTTTTCGTTATAAGAACGGACCTGTCAGCGCTGTTCGTGGCTCGTCAGCCGGCGATGTGTGCGGCGGAGGCGCGCGCGCTCGCTGACGAGTGGAACGAGGACCTGGAGGCCATGGAAGCCTTCGTGCTGGAGGGACGCTTCTTCGTGCGCCTCCCAGACCACGAGCTCGGCCTCTTCTATAGCCACGACTGCTACGTCTTCCTCTGCAGATATGTGCTGCCCGCTGAGGTACGACCTTTGTATCAATATTAATCTAGACATATAAAAAATAGACATATAATGGAGCGTCGGTGGCTCAGTGGTCAAGCAAGCAACTTGACTTGCAATCTGCAGGTCCTGGGTTCGAATGCCGCCATGTACCAATGTGTTTTTCGATTTTTGATTTACATATGTACATTTATCCGACGTTCTTACGGTGAAGGAAAACATCGTGATGCAACCTGCACATATCTGAGAAGAAATTCAAAGATATGTGTGAAGTCAACCAACCCGCACTTGGCCAGCGTGGTTGACTATGGCCTAATCACCCTTAACTTAGGGTAGGCTCCGAGCCCCTCGGGGGGGCGTATAGGGAGCTGATGATGAATGAATGATGAATAAAAAATAAACTGGTACCTTCAAACTGAAATAAGAGCTTTATGATAATTAATTAATAACATTTTTTTTTAAATTACGATCTAAAATAATGCAGAATGAAAAATAGTAGAACAGTTACTTGGTAATTACAATAAAAAATCGATAACCCAGCGAATTGTTAGCTTTGTTAATATTTTTATCGCTTTAAACGAATTTAAAACATTAACCTAATATTTAATTTCCAGCCGGATCAAGAAAACACCGAAAACTGGGGCGATGGTGAAGTGGAAACCGATGAGGGTGAATCAGCGACATGGGTGGTGTACTTCTGGCAGGGACGCAAAGCCCCCAACATGGGCTGGCTCACGTTCACCTTCGGTCTGGAGCGCAAGTTCAAACAGCTGTGCAAACGTCTGGATGTTGTCCGCACGCACCAGCAGCAGGAGAGTCTCAAGTTTATGGCCCATTTCAGACAACGGTTCATCATACGCGATGCTAAGAGAAACCAACCACTGGTAATGATATTAATAAAAATCAGTACAAAAATATCCATAAATCTATACTAATATTATAAAGAGGAAATTTTATTGTTTCTTTGCATTGAATTGGCTACTGAACCGATTTGAATTTTTTTTTGATGGATAGCTATATATGCCCGAGTGCTATGGGTTTTTATATTTCATTTTCTAATTTAGTTTTTTTTATTCCGCACGGGCAACAGCTGTCAACAATCCTCGTAAAAGAAGGCCTATTGCTGAAGTACACACAGATAAAGTCAATAGTAAAATATATTTCGAAATTGCAACAGATTTACCTATATGGTAGCTTAGTATAATTTGCTTAAATTAGCTAACATATATATGTTATAACACAGGAGGGCGGACGGCCACCTGTGGAACTGTTCGAGCTGCGCAGCAACGGATCCGCGTTGTGTACTCGCCTCATACAGATCAAGGCTGACGCCGCACAACTCAACAGCGCATTCTGGTTAGAGTCAATACTTTTAATTCCAAAATATGTTTGATTTTAATCTATAATATTTCTGTTACTGTATGTCTTTGTTTTAGCTACATCCTGAACGTACCGCTAGAGGGCAGCGGTGACGCGTCCTCCGCGCTCGTCTACGTGTGGGTGGGCAGCAAAAGCGACCCCGACTCTGCGCGTCTTGCAGAACAGATCGCCGAAGAGAAGTTCAACAACCCATGGGTCAGCCTACAGGTATATGCTACTTTAACAATAGTTTGTTTTGACAGTTGTCATTAAGACCAATTTTTAAACTTATCAGGCCCTCTATCAAAAGTACTAAAAGATCAATGTTTTATGACCAAATAGGTTGTATGTACCGATAGAGCATTATTTAGAGTCCTAAATGTTGGTATCACTGTGCAGGTGGTGACAGAAGGCACGGAGCCCGATAATTTCTTCTGGGTGGCACTAGGCGGGCGCAAGCCATACGACACGGATGCTGACTACCTCAACTATACAAGACTCTTCCGATGCTCCAACGAAAAAGGATATTTCACTGTCTCTGAGAAGTGCACAGACTTCTGTCAGGTAACTTAATATCATATATATACTCACACCTGGGATCCAAAGGCCAAATGCATGCTCTTTGCTGTCGGGTGGTCATCTTTACCTGCGGTTCACTTTATTTCCTAATAAAATATCTTATTTAATTTATATGAGTATAAATGTACAATAATGTGTACACAGGATGATCTTGCGGATGATGACATAATGATACTGGACAACGGCGAGCAGGTGTTCCTGTGGCTCGGTGCCAAGTGCTCAGAGGTAGAGATCAAGCTCGCTTACAAGTCCGCGCAGGTAAATATACATTCAAATCACACTAATGGAAATCTTACTTTGACATTGACCAAGACTATCCACTAAAACGGCAGATATTCATTACTTGTGGTGTCATGAACCCTACTGTTCCGATTTAAATAAGCAGTCAAACTGTTCTGTTAAAATTGAACATCTATAGTAGGCTTGATAAAGGAAAACATTTACACAAATCAAATAAAGTGACATATAATTTTCTTCTAAAATTAAATTTCTAATTTAAAACATAATGTGACAATATAATTAATAAAATAATTGTTTTATCTTAAATTACAAGGTGTACATCCAACACATGAAGACTGTACAGCCAGAAAGACCCCGGAAACTGTTCCTTACGCTGAAAGACAAGGAGTCTCGCAGGTTCACCAAGTGCTTCCACGGCTGGGGGGAGCACAAACGACCTCCCGAGTAAATTATCTTATATATCTAGTAGATAATAAAAATTCTATGTCAAATGTCCATATATGTTTATAACACAATAATAAGAGACTTTATATCTGTTAATAATAATAAATCATTAAATAATTAAAGTATATACATAAAACACATTTAATTACAAAATATCAATTTTAATTTATGTAACATTAATATAATTGAATAAAATTGCTTACTAAAGATATTAATATTAAAATGTATTGCATACAATTAAATTGTCTTCAAAAAGATTAAAATTATGAAAATTATATTAAGATCATATAATTTATTAACTTCTTTTGAAGATAGATCATTGTCAGTTAAAAAAGGTTTATTGTAAACACAAGCTTTCCTCAACAATCCGAAATAGGTCATTAACCCACCTAAGTTGAAACTTACAATGTAAAAATTTACATTTTTAAAAAGTATTATCAAAAAAGTATTAGTTGTTGATTTAACCACTAGTCTACTTTAATCTGTATTTAAAATTGTTATGTTTCATTTGTATACTGAGACATAATGATTTAAACAAAATTGAATAGTTTAAATAATGTAGACAAGTTTGTCATATTATTTGTACATAAGCATAAATTTCAAATATTATAGTTCATATCACTTGAAATCTTATAAAGTGAATTTTGCAATAATAATTAGGATGGAACAGTACCTAAACAAAATTGGCATTTGTATTACAAAATATAATGGTACTGAACATGAATCAAGGCTCTTCAAAAAATGTTGAGAAATCTTTGAATAAAAGACTGATTTTTACAATCAATAACTTTATTTGCCTTTTAAAACTTAGAAAAATAAACAAGTGAGGTGAGATTACTGTTATAACTTATTGATATTAAGAGTAACATTGACTAGGTGAGCAGAAACTGCTTGGGTGTTACTCTGTTTTGCATTGTACTGTGCATTTATATACTGCGCCATTTATCACTTCAGTCAACTGTACATAGGATGCTGTATATGTTTGTAATTGTCTGTACTTACATATTAAATACTGTAAATATATAAATTAAGATGTTCTACAACAGGAATTGTTAACACATTATAAAGATCTTAGCATAAGTTATTGAGAATTCATTGACATGAGCACAAAATTATGCAGCAATGTAGCTTTCATAACTTTTAAATAAAAACTATCCAACATAATTAAGTTTTTACTTTCTTTACCTCAAATCTGTAACATAAAATACAAGAACTTATTTAAAATATCTTTGAACTATAACTTAGTATCCATTTCGATCATATGCATTAAATTTAAGTAACACTTTAATCGTCGTCATCATCATCATCCGAAGGGACGAATAATTCATTTTCTTCCAAAAAGTTGGCAATATTCTTACTTATCGCGGCTCCGATTAGAAGACCTGGTACCACAGCACACACTATGCTGAGAAGACCGAAGGGTGTTTTCTCAGGTTCTGGAAGGATGGCCCCACTAGGAGTTGTAGTTGCTGATCTTCGTTGTACGATTTGTTCATGTCTGGAGATATTCTTAGATTGAGTAACAAGTCTAGTGAGTCGGGTCAATGCCATTTTATCCAAAAAGCTGCGGAAAAATCTTAAAAACTATATTTAGCTTATGCAAATTGATATTTTCAGGAAGACAAATAAATGTGACAGAAAAGAAAATTCTGGACAATGACAGCTGACAGCTAGTTCACGCATAGAGTATGTAATCTTAAAATCATGTTAGAGTCCAAAGAGTATATAAAATAAGAGACGGGACTCTTGACTAATTAGATACACAAACGGAGAATAAAAATTGTCATTTTCAATGCTAGCAATATTATGAACAAGTCTACGTTGTTACCAACCTAAAAAAATCAATCTTTCAGTTTCCTTTTTGACGTTTGAAAGTATTATTCGAGGGAAAACAATTTAGGAAAAATAAAACCATTTCGTTAATTGCAACTTCAATTTAATCTTCTGACTAAAGCGAACATATTTTAAGAACGCAACATAATGCTCACTGCTTCTGTAATAATACCATTATTGTTTAGTTCACCAACAAAATACCCCAACTTTGATAAATGCTTATTTGTTCCAGTTTGTTTATTTGATAGGTAATATGAGGGGGTGGAAACTTAGGAGGACGATTTGTATGGAAAGTGCCGCCACCTTTTAAATCTTAGTAAACATCATTTCATCTCATGGCTAAGAAGAAACATCATTTGTGTCATCGACAGGGGGTGGAAACTTAGAAGAAGGACGATTTGTATGGAAAGTGGCGCCACCTTTTAAATCTTGGTAAACATCATTTCATCTCATGGCTAAGTTGACACAAACATCATTTGTGTCATCGAGACATTCATGTGTCATCAAACCGCTACGTTTTTAAAAAGTCTTCTTCTTCTTCTTCTTCTTCTTCTTCTTCTTCTTCTTCTTCTTCTTCTTCTTCTTCTTCTTCTTCTTCTTCTTCTTCTTCTTCTTCTTCTTCTTCTTCTTCTTCTTCTTCTTCTTCTTCT